GTTGCCTTTTTATACCCGCCCTCAACTCTCTGTTCTTCCTCTGGGTACACCGTTCACACTGAGGCATGCCTAGCCCACACTCGCTTCTTTTCCACTACCTCCTCTTCGTTAACCTCAGGAACCACTAATCTAGTCTCTGTTTCTAAAATTTTGTCACCAGGAATGTTGTGGGGACTAGCAGGTGGCATAGTGGCTAAAACACTGGACTCCCATGTGGCTGACTAGGGTTCAAGTCCTGGACCCAGCAGCTTGAAACTCATGCTGGGCACGTGTGCATGTGTGCCCAAAATCCCAAGAAGAAAATGGAAAAGGGATTGCGGCATGGTCATCCCCCCTAGAGGATGATTTCTCGCATTCCCTCTCTCTGTCTCCAGTAAGTGTGCATGCCCTGTAGCAAAAATCCTCCCCTACCCCCAAAGAAAAGGATGTTGTGTTTACTTTGGGCTAGCCCCATGGCCTAATAATTAAGGGAGCCAGACTCTAAATGGCAACCATGTGGTATGAATCCTAGCCCTGGCAGCTTAAAAACATGCCAAGCACATGTGCATGCTGACCCCAAATCCCAGCACGATGGAGAAATGAAGGAGAAAAGGAGAAGGGATGATGGTATCACCATGCCCCATTAGAGGTGCTTTCCCCCTCCCTCATTCCCACTCTCTGGTGACCACACATGCCCTCTGGCAAATTAAAATAAATAAATAAATACAATAAGAGTTTTTAAATGTTCTGTTTAGGAATCATGTTTTATGTGACTTTCTGAGATAGGTTCTTTTTTATTTACCCCCTCAGCATAATTCTCTGGGAATGCATCCAGGTCTGTATTGATTGGTCTTTTTCTTTTTTCTTTTTCTTTCTCAATTTTTTTTTTTCATGTTTCCCATGAGAGACAGAAAAAGAGAGACAGGCACCCCCAGTAGGATCCTCACACCTCACACCTCACACCTCAGCTAGGGTCCATCCTCAGTCCCAGGTGGCCTAGATAACAGACATGGAAGTCTGTCCCGCCTACTCAGGGAGGTCCCAGCATGTGAACCCAGGACATTTCCCGTGTGGATCTGGTTGCATTACTTTTGTGCCACCACCCGGCCCCCAGTCTTCTCTTTTTACTGCTGAGTAATAGTCTTTGGTTTAGATGTATCACAGTTTTGTTTAATCAATCACCCACTGAAGGACATCCGAGTCATTTTCAGATTTTGGCTATTATGAATAAAGCGGTTATAAACGTAAGCGTCCAGGTTTTTATGTGAATATTTGGCTCCTTTTCTCTGGGATAAGTGTATATGTAATTGCTGGGTCGTATGGTAGTTACATATTTGGTTTTTTATTATTTTTCTTCTCAGAGTGGCTGTAACATTTTACATTCCCACCAGTAATATGTAAGTGATCAGTTTTTCCACATCATTATCAGCATTTGGTGGTGTCGCTACTTTTTTCAGCCATTCTGTGAGGTGTCTGATGGTATCTCATTCTGGTCTTAATTTTCATTCCTCTAATGGCTAATACTGTCAAGCAGCTTCTCGTGTGTCTTCTGTGAAATAAATGTTTATATCTTTTGCCCATGGTCTAGCTGGAGTGGTTTTTTTGTTTGTTTGTTTGTTTGTTTTTTATTGTTGAGTTGTTAGAGTTCTTTATATATTCTACATACGAGTCATTGTGAGATACATGGTTTGCAAATATTTCTTCCCACTTTTAAGCTCACTTTTACATCCCCTTAGCAAGGGCTTCTGCAGAGCAATAATTTATAATTTTGGTTTTCCTCTTATGCATCATGCTTTTGGTGTCAAACCTAAAAACTCTTTGTCTAGATCACAAATATTTTCTCCAATTTTCTTTTTTTTTTTTGTAGAAGTTTTATACATTTGTATTTCGCATTTAAGTTCATGACCCATTTTGAGTTAATTTTTTTCACAAGGCTGAGACTTGGCCCAAGGCTGATTAGTTGATCTATTTTTGCCTATACATGTCTATATGTACCCAAATTATTTGCTAAAAAGATTTTTTTTACCACTAATAAATTGCCAAAAAATAAGTTGGGCATGAAATCTCAAGAATAGGCAGATTTATTGAGACAGGAAGCAGATTAGTGGTTGGTCTAGAGCTGGTGGGAATAAGGTCATTTGAGAAAAAGGTCTTGAGTATTTAGGGGAATGAGAAAAGTTATGTAAAATTGATTGTAATGACGGCAGCACAGTTCTTCAAATATACTAAAAGCCTTTCCATTGACTTGAGTAGGTGAATTGTATGGCGTGTGAACTATAGTCCAATAAAGCTGTTTCTAAAAGAAATCACTTGGGCATATTTGTGTGAGTCTATGTCTGGGTTTCCTTATTCCATTTCATTGGTCTGTGTGTCAGTTCTTCTGCCGATAACTACATAGTCTTGGACATTGAAATGAAAAGTAAGTCTTCAAGTTTGGTAGATGGTTTCCTCCTACTTTCTTCTTGTGTACCCCGTGTGTTTTTCAAGCTGCTGGGTCCAGGACTCAAACTGCACAGAGGGCCATGTAAGATTCAGCTTCCTTAACCACCACACTATCAGCTAGCCAAATTTATTCTTATTTCTCAAAATTAATTTAGCTAGTCTTGTTCCTTTGCTCTTCCACATAGATTTTAGAATAATTCTATCTATATATACAAAAAAAAAACAAACAAACAAACTTACTGGGATTTTGTTTTGTTTTTCTTTTTTTTTCTGTTTTAATTTTTTCTTCTCTTACTGGGATTTGTATTAGATGTATATTTATTTAGAAAAAATCGATATCTTTATTTTGTTAATTTTCAATCCACACACATGGCATGTCTCTGCATTCATTTATATTTTTTATTTCTTTCATCAGCATCATGTGGCTTTCTGAATACAAGTCTTATAGGTGTTTATTAGAGTTACACCTAAGTATTTCTTTTTTTTTTTTTTTTTAAAGGGACCAGCAGATAGCATAACGGTTATGTTGCTGGACTCCCACGTGGTCCACTGCAGTTTGAGTCCCAGACCTGGCAGTTTGAAACTCATGCTGGGCACATGTGCATGTGTGCTCAAAATCCTGAGAAGAGAATGGAGGAGAAAGGATGTGACTTAGCCGTCTCCCCAGGGGATGATTTCTCACTTTCTGTCTATCTGTTTCTCTCTGTCTCTCCAGGGAGTACACACGCCCTGTAGCAAAAATATCTAAAAAAAAAAATGGTAAATAATATGTTTTAATTTCAGCAGCCAAGTAGTCCTTCCTAGCGTATATACATACATGTTTGTGTGTGTATATATATGTATGTATGTGTTTTTCTTATATCCTATGATTTTACTAAACTCATTTAATTCATTTTGGATTTTGGATGGCTTTTTTTTGTAGTCTTCTTTAGAATTTCCATTTTTTTGCTTTTTAAGAATTACTTTACTTAACATTATTTATTTATTTTAATGTGACCATAGAGGGACAGAGTGAGAGAGAAAGGGGGAGAGGAAATGAGAAATCAAGCCGCCAGATCTGGGAGTCGAACCGTGATTGGCCATGTGGGAGTCTAGTGCCCTTAAATAGAGAGAAAGAAAACTAAAGCAATCTAAAACACAATCAGCTGTGACTCTATTAGCAGTCTGTTAATTATTCTTAAACTTGTAGCCTTGGCCACATGACGACTGCCTTCTCCCACCAACAGAAGTCAGTGCCAATGCCGGCCTGTGGCCTGATGGTTGAGGGAGCTGGATCCCACATGGCTGACCATGAGTTTGAGTCCTGGACCCAGTAGCTTACAAAACACACTATGTGCCCCAAGTCCCAACAGGACATGAAAATAGAGAAGAGATTGTGGTATGACTACAAAGCCCATTGGGAGGTGCTTTCTCCTTCTTCTCTCTCTGGCAAGCACACATGCTCTCTAGTAAATAATATGAAAACAGTAAAGCTTAGGGGGACAGCAGATGGCATAGCAGTTACATTGCTGGACTCTCACATGGCCGACTACGGTTTGGGTCTTGGAACTGGAGGCTTGAAACTCACGCTGGGCGTATGCACATGCGTGCCCAAAATCCGTGCCCAAAATCCCAGGAGGAGAATGGAGGAGAAGGGATTGAGGAATGGTCATCCCCCTGGAGGATGATTTCTCGCCTTCCCTCTCACTGTTTCTGTCTCTCTCTCTCTGGCTAGCGCACAAGCTCTAAGGCAAAAGCCTCACAAAAAAAAAAAAAAAAAGAGTTGTAAAAGTTAAAATTTAATGCCAAAAGCCAGCTCTGGGATGCAATGGTAATGTACTACTCAAAAAAAATTCTCCTCCATGGCAGCTGCAGTTAGAATCCCCAGAGTATACCGAATAACCCTGACACATGCTGGGCACAGGTGTGAGTGCCCAAGATCCCCTGTGAGGGTGTTCATCTCACTCTCCCGCTCTCATTTTCATGTATGCATGCTCTACTACGAATAAAAGGAGAAAACGTAAAATAAAATAAGTTCTGTGCCAAAGCACAGTCTTTTCCACTCTCCCTTTTCTCTACAAACCAAAAAATCCAATAAAGCAGAACACTGGGCTTGGAGGTTTTTTTTTTTTTTTAAAGATTTATTTATTTATTTATTTTTATTTATTTACTTATTTTAATTTGACCATAGAGAGACATAGAAAAAGAGGGAAAGTGAGAAAGCAAGTCACCAGATCCAGGACTCGAACTGTGGCCAACCATGTGGGAATGTCCAGGACCTTAACCACCATGCCACCTGCTGGCCCCTGGACTTGGATATCTAATAAGTATTTATCCTTTTTAAAGAAGTTTTTAGTGGGAATGTGCATTTACTTGACAGAGAGAGAGAGAAAGTATCCCCATAGGGGATGGTCAGGCCGCAATCCCTCCTCCTCCACATCTCCCTCCTTTGTGATTTGAGGCATGCATGCACACATGCCTGGTGTGTTTTTCCAACCACCAAGTCCAGGACTCTAACTGCACAATCAACCATGTGGGATCCGGTCACCTTCACCCCCATCTCGCCAGTTGGCAATACTATTTCTTTCCAGTGTGAACTCCAAGAGAGGAGCGACTGTCTACTTCGTTTTGTTTTCTCGAAGACCTAATGCTTTAATGAATTCACTCGGTGAGTATTTATTTATTGCCTATTACGTGCAGATTTTCTATGGCCTCTTTCTATTTGAAGATAATGTACTTCTGTTTTGGAAAATGTTCTTGTATTATATTTTATAATCACCTCTCCTCTGGTTTAACTCTTCTCTCTTTCAAAAACTCCTATTAGCCTGATGATGGACTTTTTGGGCTGATTCTCTGCATTTTAAAATATTTTACCATTTTTTTTAGTTCTTTGTACTTCTGTTAATTTGCATTCTTATAAGAATACCTGGACTTTGGTATACATTCCTATTGGAATGCCATACTTACATTTTCTTATAAAGTGCTTTTGAACTAATGAAAGATTAGCATAATTATGTAATAAAAAAAAGAATACCTGGACCTTATCCTCTAACCTTCCTAGCGACTCTTGAAATTTTAATAACATATTTTTTATTCGCAGGAGCTTTTCCTGTTACCTTGCTCTTGTTCCATGATTATAGTCTCCTCTATTCCCCTGAGAACGTTAGGTAACTATTTTAAATGCTTTATTCTGGTTTCTGAATTGAATTCATTTCTTCCTGGTCCTTTATGTTTACTTGTTTGCTTTTTCTTTTATGGTTTGGAAGTAACTCAACTGACTGGTGATCTTTGGCTTTCCGTTTATTCTTGTGAGTAAAAGCAGTAACAGAGAGTGGCTGGGGACCTGCTCTAGAATTACAGGAACTAAAGAGACATGGCAACTAGTTACCATGTGTGATCCTAGATTGGCACTTGTTATTGGCACCATAACAAATGTTTATAAAAGACATTGTCAGAATGATTATGAAATTTGAATGTATGGACTATAGAGCTTGATAAACATAATACATCATGAATTACATATAACACTAATACATTATATGTTATGTGATATTTTCTTTGAAAATACACTATAGGGGCCAGCAGTTGGTGGTTAAGGTGTTGGACTCCTACATGCTGACTGTGGTTTGAGTCCTGAACCTAGCGGCTTGCTTTCTCACTTTCTCTTTCTATCTGTCTCTCTGGTCAAACTTTAAAATAATAATAATAACAAATAAAATTAAATAAATAAATACATCTTTAAAAAAATATATATATATATGTATATATATGTGTGTGTGTGTGTGTGTGTGTGTGTGTATATATATATATATGAAATGCATAATAAAGTACTTGTGAATAAAAGGGCAGAATGCCTACAAATTATTCTCATGTCGTCAACGTATGCAGTGTGATCAAGTATACCAGAGACCTACTCAGACATGTAAGCTACATTGGCTTCTATTTTTTTTTTTTTTTTTTTTTTTTTTTTTTGGGGGCAGTGCTTTTCCCGAGGAAAAACGAAATCATCCCCCAGTGTGGGGATGGCTATGCCACAATCCCTTATGCATTCTCCTCTTGGAATTTTGAGCATGCATGCACACATGCCTAGGGTGAGTTTCAAGTCACCAGTCCAGGACTCAAACCATGGTTGACCATTTGGGAGTACAGTGACATAACCATTATGCCATCTGCTGGTCCCATACACTGGCTTCTAAAGTGCTTCTATAAAGCTTGACTAACTTGTTTCCTACAGGCAAATGCTTGACTTTGTGCTGAGTAAACAGGGAGAAAGCTATTAAGCTGACCTTGTGAAGAGGTAAGAATATAATTTATATTTTTTATTTCTAAAAGATTCTTTTTCTTTCTTTCTTTCTCCCATGAGAGAAAGAGAAAGTGAGAGAGGGAAAAATACCTCCAACAGGACCTTCTTACCATAATCCATCCTAGCCTCAGAAAGCCTGGATAGAAGGTGTATTTGCATATGCCCAGTGTGCATAGGGAAGCCTCTAGATGCAAACCCAGGACAGTCCCATGTGGGTCTAGCACACAGAGCATTGCATTCC